TAACTATCTATCTAACTATCTATGTATTTCTCAATCTATCTACCTAAAGGATGACCAAAAGTTTTGGTACCTCACAGAAAAATTCCCTTCCCTCTCTTATAAAAAAATCAGAAAAAGCTCAAAATTGGACTAATAGTCAAGCAATACCAGATGAGTATCACTCTAAGTGTTCACAAGTAAAGCTCAAGTTATCGTGAAGATATAAATTCAAACTAAAAGATTTTTTTCGTATCATCTAACCAAGTAACCGGTGTCGATGATAAACGGTTGTATTTTCTATCTTTTTTTTTCTCAATTTCTAATATGCTTCTTGAAAGAAAAAACATATTAGAAGATGGAGCGACAGAAAATCTACAATCTACAATAGAAAGCTTATTTTATATATGGTCTTTTAGTGTTCAAAATGGATGAGAATGATGAAAAGAGAAAATAAAGAAAAAAAAGGAATTCGTCATGTATAAAAAATAACTTTTTCGCAACATTAGAATTCACTCACTTCGAAATCTGCTGATTTCGAATACTAAAAGACCATATATAAAATAAGCTTTTTATTGTAGATTATAGATCTTTTGGCGCTTCATCTTCTAATATATTTTTTTTTCAACAAACATATTAGAAACTGAGAAAAAAAGATACAAAATATGACTGTTTATCATGGGCACCGGTTACTTAATTAGATGATGCGAAAAAAAATCTTTTAGTTTGAAGCTATATATCTTCACTATAACTTAAGCTATGGTTGTGAACATCTAGATTGATACTCATTTGTTACTGCTTGACTATCAATCCAATTTTGCGCCTTTTTAATTTTTATCAGAGAGAAAAGAAATTTTTCTATGAGCTACCAAAACTTTTAGACAAACCTTTATCTATCTATTTATATATTATTGGGAGCAGAATTCTAGTGGTGATTTTACTGAGATTTGTCATGGACTTCATATCTTCTTTAGCTTCAACATAACAATATAAAATAACCAAAGTGAATAATATCTAACAGATAATAGTTGCTTTTCAAGAATAATCGATCCTTAGAGAATCGATCTGTCTTATTTATTTCTGTGTTTCTAACAGAATTTTTTTCTCTTATTTTTTTTTACTGGCGCTTCATTATTTATTTGCGTTGTTGTCATTCGCTTGTGATTTATTTTTTTTTTATTTCATCTTTCCTAATTTACTATTATTATTACTATTATTTTTGTTCTTGTTCTAACCAATGATTTGCTTAAGAAATTAGCCGGTTGTACATCTTCATTGTATCTGCGGCAGGTCCCAACGCACTACTATGGACCTTGATAAACTTATCAAGTACTGGTTTTGATGGTTCTCTCAAATTAGAATTTGATCAATTAATACTTTGTGTTGCTCATATGACGATCGTAGTAAATCAATACATCACCAGTTATCATCCATCTTTTATATGTATCATATACTCATTAATTTGAGCAAAAATCAGAAACCGTACTATATATAGCATTCAAAAACATAGTCCAACCATTTAAATTTCAAGGAAAGCTTTGAAATGTTCTAGCACAATCTGAGCCGTGTTTGTTAACACCGTTAAGCGCCCTTTACCGTTGCTAAAGAATCATGGGAAATGAGTCTGATGCTTGTTGTATGTCGGTTACTATGGCAGAATTTGTGTCCAGCGCTCTTTAACCTTCGACCGCGGCTGCTAAGGCCTGTAATGAGGGAATCGAGGGAAGATGAGCCTGAAAATCTTCCATTTAAACTTATACTCACTATTTTTCTTCGAAAAATATATGTGAATTGCACAAAACGTGTTGTTCATTGAATTGTACAGTTATGGTAGCTGTATACGACCAGATACGATCGTGTACGGTGATATACGACCGTATACGGCAGTCGTATAACTCCGTATACGGAGCATAGATATTTATCTTTTAATCACTCCGTATTTTTGTACGATCTCCGTTTACGGAATCCGTTTCTCACCGTATTGCTCCGTATACGCGCATCGTATACGGAAGCCGTGCACGACCTCCGTATATCTCTGTTTTTCTCCGTAAACGACCGTTTACGAGCGTGCATGTTCGACCTGGGATCATTGGATGAATACAGAGAAGTCTTTATTTCATTGACATAAATAAGTTGATTTTGAATGTTGATATTGTCCAATAACTAAACGAATTAAGAATAAGCAAATTGAATCATCACACTATAATGATGAAGTGTGATTCATTATAAGATTGTGTGAGTCATGTAGAAAAGAAAATATTTTTTCATTTTTGCGTTCTGCTTACAATTTTTTTCTGTATTCGACTGTGAACACGACGATAAAAAACTAAGAAAAAAAAAGTGTAAAGAGTGTTTTATTTGAAGATGATAACAATATCACATTTCGCGTTTATAAGCTAGAGTCATTCGAATGTTTTTTAATGTGTTTTCGTTGACAATCTTATAAACTATATTTTGAAAAATAGTTCATCAATATTTTATTTATTTCACCAACATGTTATACAAATGCTGGTTAGATCTGTTACCTGCTGAGTTATTGTATAATGTATTCGTCTACTTTTCGGCACATGAAATTCTTCTAATTTTTTCGGACGTTAGTGATTATATGAACGCCATATTGTGCGTTTATCCGGCGTATCGACTAGACTTAAGCTTGATTCAGAAGTCTGATTTCAATCGTGTTCGTCATTGTATTTTACCAGAACAAGTTATTTCTCTTAGACTTTCTGATGATAATAATACTCTTGTTCAATCGGATATTTTCCTTTCGTATTTTCGAATTGAACAATTTACTCAATTACGATCGCTTACATTGGTTCAAATTGAATCCGAATCATTAAAATCTATTTTTTCTAATTTAAATAAGCTTGGCCAATTGCGTTCACTTTCATTTAATATGGAAAGTGTTAGATATAAGTTTCCGGCAAGGAATGATGATTATTCAAAAAAATTAAATCAATTAAAATATTTTTTATCGAATAGTTATGAACAAATATTACCACAACTAAATCGTCTGAGTTTAAACAGCTCAACGGAATTAATATCTAAATCATTACCACATCTTCGTCAATTGAAACTTGGTAAATGTTTTGTGAATGAACTTGAAACTATTTTTCAAAATTCACCACAACTTCAATCACTTGATATTAGTTTTGATATGAATGTATTAAATACCACCATAATCCTACCATCCAATCAACTCATTTGGCTTAATCTAGAAATCAAAAGTAAGCATAACCATAGTTACACACTCATCATAAAATCCTCTTAGTCCTATGTCTACGGGATAAAAATGTCGTATAGAATGAAACTCTTGGTATTTTATAAGAGAGAATTTATCAATATTTTCTTTATCTATTTTTAACACATGTCGAAGATGAGAGATCTTAAGCTTAACCCTTAAGAGCCGAATGTCTCTTCCAAGGGACATTGGAAAAAACGCTATGGAAGATGTAATAAAATCGTTTAGGCAAGGACCAATATTTTTTTGGACTTTGATGACCTAATAGAGTATAGAGCGAAAAAGGAATTTCTTAAAATCGATTATCAGGGGGTGCAGCAGGTTTTGGAAAACGCATGAATTTTTTCAATGCAATTTTGTCTTTTGCAAAGTTCGCCTGTTCGTAAATATAGCGTGAATTAGCGTGAATTTTGGCTTTTCTGAGAGGCACAAAGGCAAGCTATCGAATGAAACTGTTCCCTAAATTTTTAAGTTACCTGTTGATACATAGTGATAGCAAGAAGAAAATGTCCCTTGGAAGGGACATTCGGTCTTAACGGGCCGACAAGTTTTAACAATGTATGAATAGTGCGCGAGCGACTTTTCGTTTATTTTTGATTCTACTAAATACTGTTGTACAGAAGGAATCAAGAGAAGGCTACTTTCTCATCTGATTATCGAAAATTGTCCATGATTTCCATATAACTTTGGTTGTTCTCAATGAAAAAGCCGACCTTGGTCGCTTTTAAACCCCTTGCGATAGTTCTGATTCTGCTCTAATAAAGCATTCGATAACTGTTTCTTGATGCAGTAAAACTACAAGCACAAGCGTAAAATGATCGTTGTTTTCTTCACTCATATTGGCTACGCCACACTTGGATAACCCCATGAGCGAGACTTACATTAAAACAAATAGTGTGTAAATTTTGAAAAATTGTAAAATATCGCTCGAATTAGTTTCTTGAATAATAAGAAACATATAAATAGAAGTATTCTAAAGAAAAAATTAGTTTTACATAAATTGATAACACTGAAAAAATTTGGACCGTTACGACCGAATGTCCCTTCCAAGGGACATTTTATATCTCCGTAAGAAAAATTTTTTTTTTGTTGTTACTATCAATATTTCTTATTGAGATACTAGACCTTCTGTTTTAGCGAATAATTTGTTCAAATTGCAACGATAAGGCCTTCCGGCTTTTAAGGGTTAATATATTGCAATGGATATAAAATGAATGTAAAGAACAACTATTATACTAATCCTGCAGTGGACTTTGACTTCTTGGTTATGCATGCTACAGTTCATGATAGTAGTGAGTAGAGTCCATCGGATTAGTCTTCATTTTAAAACGGTCAATTATCTCCATGTTCTCATATGATCGCAATCAAGATGCTCTGAAGAAATAGCATATAAGGCGTGTTAATTGTTGAATCTATCCGAATGAAAAACGAGTGTCATAGTTTTCAGATCAACTATCAAGATAGATAAAAAATATTATGAATGGGGGTCTGGCTCGAGTTCATGCTAAAAAATTTGGACCCAAAGTGCTCTAATGTATACTTCAATATTCTTTTTAGATCGTGTTTTAATAAATATAAATGTTAATAACAGAATTATCCTTGGTATTTTACTGAAAAGAGAATACTCCTATCTATTCGCGTCCTATTAAACTGCCTCGGCAGCCAATGAAAAGCCTCAAAAAGGTTTAAACCATGGGTATTTTGATGTCGAATATTTTTACGTGCCTATGAAAATAACGCCAATGAATTTTTTGGCTGCTATTAAAAAGTAGCAGACTAAGTCTTCTTAAGAGTGAACTTAAAGATAAATAGATTTTTCAACGCTGCAACCTTAAAAAGTTCGAAGATGATAAATCTCATAATTGCACCATAGCTGTCTTACTTAACGCATTACTGGAATAATGTATATTCGACTTCATATGAAAATCATACAGACAATAGTTTATCTTCTAATAGGATTGATAGTGAAGAAAACACATTGGAAAGTCTAATATAATCAAGTTTACTCTTCAAAAATATTTACAGTGATCTTTCTTTTAATCATTAACAAAAGTATTTTCCATTACTTTCATATACATTTAAAATATTTGACAAGGAAACGCCCATGGTCCAAACTCTTTAGAGACTATTTCATGTTCATCAATGTCAAAAAGATGTGAATACATAGAATTATTTCATCAAGATAATAATTTTAGAAAAAAATATGATTAATTTATGATTAATAGATCGACACATTTCAAGAGATCACATAGAAACACTCTTATTCAATTTGTCTCATTTGAAATATTTGGTCTTGAAAGCAAGTATTAAAGGTGATATTGCTGATGGTAATTTCTGGCAAGTATTAGTTAGATCCCTCAAAACATTTTCTTTCCAGTTCTATGTATCACATATTGATATTCAAAAAACACTTGATTCATTTTCTACTTCATTTTGGCTTGAAGAAAAACATTGGTATATTGCTTATCAGAATGGATACCTTTGTTCATTACTTTATTTCGCTCCCGTTCATATTGATTCACGTAATCTATCACAATTTCATTCAACTGCACCCAATAATTCGCTCATTTATGAACAATTAAATAAATTTACAGTAAATTCATTTCATATTAATAATAATCATTATTTAGCTCATATAAAAACACTCGCACTCGAATTATCAATATCATTGAAGAGACTTCAATCAGTCATTGATTTGAATCAAATCGAACATTTGATTGTACCATCATTGGATCATTTATTAGTATTTATACCACTCGAATATAACATGCCTCAATTGCATGAATTAACCATAAAAAATAGTGTGACAATTGATACAGTTGATCGACTAAGTCATTATCAATTTGAACGCATTCGTACACTTCACATACGCGTTAATGATGAAAATATCGATTGTATTATTGAAGAATTATTTTATCTGTTTCCTCATATAGCACATTTGACGTTTACACCTCGTATTAAATCGTTAACATTGATGCTTCATTTATTGAAAGGATTTAAATATTTATCCAATGCATCGTTTTCTGCTGATTGTTCATTCTTTCGAAAAGAAGCGAATTTTTGTCGAAATCCCAAGTCTGTTATTCAACACTTTCGACAACATACAAATGATAATATTTCATGCCGAGTTTATTATTTAATTAATACTCAATTGCCGTTTTCAATTCATTGGAATATTGAAGAACAAGTGAGCATTTATCAAGTATTAAATATTGATTGTTAATAGGTTTATTTTATTCTTTAGCCATCGACTCGTTGGTCAATGATCAATTGGCCATGGAAACGAGGATATCGTTGGTATCGATGCAAACACACTTTATTACAATTTTTCAATAGTAATATGACGTGGATAAAATATTTGATGCAATTTTTAATCTATCTATCAATCGTCATTATAGTTCATAGAAGTTATCACAAGTTTGATATTTATTTTATTTGTTTCTGCTTATTTAAAACTATTTTCATTACAATTTTGTATAATTTATGCTTTCGTTTGTTTATTTCAATCAAAAATGATAATATTTATATTTTCTTTGCCTATGGAATTTATATTTGGTTTATCTTTAGTTTGATTGTATTTTTATTTTCATTTATTAGTCAAATAGGTCATGATTATATTGTTCAATGAATCGAGAAGAGCTTCTTATTTAATTTTATTGGTTTTTGTTAATATGCTATTTAAAATATGTAATAATAAAATTCTTAAAGAATGATAAGAAATTCGAATTATTCGTTATCAATTATGTTTATTTTTCGAGTAATATATTGGAAATAGTGTTTATGGAGTGTGGGTGTATGTTGGTATGGTTTTTCTTATCAACTACACTCACACACCCACATACCCACATCCTTGTGTAGTTCAAGATGTGAATTTTTCTTGAATAGCAAAATAAACGTAGCTTGATTATGGTGCAGAAGAAACGAGTGAACTGACGAAGAATATGAATTTGTTTGATTGTTCATTCGTTGACTTTTCCATATGACATCTGAGTTATGAAAAATCTCTGATTTTCTAGAGTTTTCAATGGTGATAGATTTAAGCTTCTTTTGATGTAATTCTTTAAAAGAGCATGTCGAAAAATTGTCGAAAACGGGTAGTGACTCTCGAGATAGCCATCTCGTACAACACTTTCTATTTTGGATGCATCTTTTGATTGAGTGCTCATTATGTAGAATGCAGACACTCTTTACCTCGATCATTTTTGAAAACAAGAGAGTTTGAAATAGAGGTGAAAAACTGAAATCTTTACTTTATAATCTAGTCTTGCGAAGATGAATGTTTCGGTGCTTCTACTTTTGGTCGAAAAGGAAAAATATCAAAAGATAAAAATGGTGAAAAAATACTTAGATAAAAGTCGAATATAAAAATGCTGAATTAGACAAATGTCGAAAATAAATATGTCGAAGTGAAAATGAGGTCAAACATCAATGTTTTCTTTCGACATTTTGTATCGTTCGATATTCTTGTTTTTGACATTCGTATTTTCGGTATTTTTATGTTCCTTATATTTACTTTCGATGTTAGTTAGGAGAATCAATGCTTCTCTCAATTTCGGATTTCGACGTTATAAATGATTTCGTAAGCACGAATAAGTTTTTCGAGCTAAGTCAATGGTAATGAATATGAAGGACGTAGGTTATTATGATTCGAACTTTGAATTGATCCTTTCCTTTGTGTTATGACGAGGTGTTCACAATAGTGATGTGTTTTGTTTGAAGATCCAGTGCTAGAGTCATTGCTAGTAGATGGAGGTGAATTATTTTCATTGAATACAAACGTCGAACTAGAAGATCTCTTGCGCTCATCTACGTTAATTACCAATATCAGTTTTGGTACGAACAGTATGAGGGCGGTAAGAATGCAAATCATGAATGTACATATACCATAAGCAATCACTATCAAATTTTTTCCACGACCCATAGTGAGATCAATTGCAGATAATGTAATAGATAGAAAGAGTAAATTATAAACTGTAAATACTACCTGTCTGGCTTCATTAAATAAATCAGGAACTTTTCGAATTTTGTACGCACAAATTGTCGTTAATAACAATAAAGCAAAACGTGTCGATAAAACGAATGGACCGTACACGGTCAGTTGATATTTAGATGTACAATACTGATAATCACTCATTGAATCGAAAGGTGACAGTTGAAGATAAAAAGGATCACCACGACCCAGACCTGTTAGCATTGCTGATGAAAGTATAATTAAACCGAATAGTATAATCAATAAATAGTTATCCTTCAAATAATGTTTCACAATAACTTTTGACATGTGAAATATTTTCGATAAACGATATGTTTTCAGCTAATTAGAAAATTAAACGAATTATTAGCACAAATTTGTTGACAACAATCTCATTCAGCATAAAAAGAATGAAATTTCTAAGGTAGTAGCTGAATCAGTGATATAACCTTATCAACGTACTTCTTCGGTCTAAAAAGTAACTCCTCCGAATATATCTGTAATAGAAAGAATTATACTTACAGCAACTACCTCAAAACGTTAGTCCTCTAGAAGCAAATCCTATTGAAGCTCTCTTGATAGTGTGTTTTAAGTTGATCCAATTAATGCCTTTAGAACTAAAGTAGGATATAGGTATTTATGTTTTTTCAGGATTATTAGATTCCATTAAGCGTATCGGTTACTAGCCTTAGTCAAAAGCTATTGGACTGTTCATCCGTGTTTGGATTCAAAAAATCATCCATCTGTTTTTTTTTGATAAAACGAATTACGCCATAGAAAATTAGCATTTTCAAAATTTTTCCTTTAACCTTTTCTTGACTTTTTTCCCTTTTTCTAAAAGAATTTAAAAAGGAAGCGTAATACAATATTAATTCATTGAAACTTACAAGTAATGTCTCAATGATCAACCTATATCCAATATTGGCTAACCAAAGCTCATTGATGCATACTAGAAACGATTGGCCATAATCTTCTAATGTATGTGGAATAATTGATATTGCTAGACTTGTGACATCCATTAGCATCAGAACAAGAAACATTGAACTGGATGCTTTTATTACAAGATGTTTATTGAAATAGCATGTGAAAGTTATTAGTGAAAGACATAGCATCGTGCAAGCAATACTTCCTCCAATCATGCTCATTAGAGTTGAGCGAGAGATTTTGACTACAAGACGAATCGGCAAATCCAGTGGTTTTGTCTCAGTACCATCCGTATATATGATTTTGATATGTGGCAAATAGCTAACTTGGTCGTCAATGATGATTGAACCAATTCTAACTATTTGATCACGTTGAAAATTGACAACATCAAACGGAGCTAGGCGATCTCTATTCTGATCAACGCTTCCGTAAC